GCTGCAGTGGTCCTTTTGTTTCTATGTGCGCTGCACCGCGCTGTTTGTTCCTTGAGCCAGGTTTCGAGTGCACCCGTGTTGTTTACGGTTCACACTCCTCCTGGATGCTTCACATCCACACATTCCGCGGGTCCACAGGCTTCAAAAGGCTACTATGCCATGACCGCCTAACCTGCTCTCACTTCACCTCCAGTGCAGCACCCGCCTCGGCTGGAGCTCGAGGCAGCCTCACCACACGGCTCCGCTTTCGCAGACACCTCCTTCTCGCTCGAGCTCGATGCCACACCCCGCAACGCGATCATCTTGCCCTTCTTGCCCACGGCAACTTCTCCTTCTTCTTCCCTCTGACCAGCTTCCCGCGGCCTAGGGTTCCATCCTCCTTCATGCCATAGCGCTCCCTGAAGCCCATGCCAATTTCTTGCCTCCAAGAATGCCATCATCTGTCCTCCAAGAGCTGCTCCACCTTGCGATAGTACTCCATGCGCTCTGTGCCCAAGACCGACCTTGCTCACCGGTTGCTGCCTTCCCCCGGCCACTACCACCAAGTCTTGCTCCTGCGACTTTGCCCCGGATCCACATGACCTATTTGGTCGGGGTGCTTAGGCAAAGGTGCACCCGTCCCAGGCCAAGTCCCATCCTCTCTTGGACTGCCGGCAGTCCTCCCCCTTCAAGCTCCGTGCCGCTTCCCGCCGTCTCTTTCGGTGGGCTCTGAGCCTCTTCTTGCGGTCTTTTCTTTTCTTGACTGGGTTTTTTCTTCACTTTTGTCCCACAGGCCTTCTTGGTGATCCCCCAAACCACCACTGCCAGAACTGCGACCACCGTGAGGATCAACTCCACCAAGGACGTCATTGCTTGATCTGTTGTGGCTGCGGGTAAAAAAGCACCGATCGCGCATCCGCCTGGGCGGACTTTGAAGCCGACATTTTGCTCGCTGGCCTCCTCATCGATTTCTACAACCTCTTCCGCCATTGTGTTAGCCGCCAGGCTGAGCATGCCAATCACCGCCTTCAGCTTATCCACCACCAACCATCCTGCAGCGCCGAACGTGGCGTTGGGCTTGCTCCCCAGCATTTTCACCTTCTTCTCCTCCAGAACGTCCAGGCCCATTCCGCTCCGGCACTTCTCAAACTGAGTCTTGGCCAACACTTTCGTGAGACCATCCGCCGCCAAAAGAGTTCCCGGAAGATGTCTCAAACGCCAGTCCTCCTCCTCAATGACCCGGCACTTGCCTTGACCTCCACGCGCATGCTGGCGTAGTAATGATGCTGATGGCCGCCGCATTGTCCCCCAAGATCATCTTCCGAACCTTCTTCACCTCCAACATTTCCACCAACGATGATACCGCCTCTCCAATAGCAGTGGCCTGCACATAGCCCATGAGTTCCGCCTCCGCCGTGGACATCGTGGTGTACGCCTGCCTTGTGGCTTCCTCGCAAGTAGTGTTCACCTCCGATGGTCCAACACCTCCATGGCCTCCTTCCCCTTTCCCATCACACCCTCCCGGGGCCATGCCTGGGAGCCCATCGTATTCAGAAGCTCATGGAGGGTCCCCTTCCCTTCCGATGTTTCGGACACCCTTGGGAGATCCCTGGCCTGAAGCTCCGCCTCCGCCCTCGCTTTATCGCTCCAGAACGGGTTCACCTCCACCGGCCTACCCGCATCCCTCCCCCGGTCCTCGCCGTCGGTCGGCCTTGCCGGTTGTGGCAACCTCCCCCCCGGCTCAGCCACGACGTCCACCGATCTTGCCCTCCTTCTCCGCATGCCTATCCTTCTCCGCATGCCTGGATCCATGGCTGGCCTTTGTCAGGGGGCGTTTGGGCTCATAGCCTATGTGCGCTGCACCGCGCGGTTTGTTCCTTGAGCCAACGGTTTCGAGTGCAACGGTTCACAGTTTCGTTCAGCATTATGGCTATTTTGACATTGTCCGGCAGTGTTGTGTTGTTGTCCCTTTCGTACCGTCTGACCTCAAACTCCCATGTGGTGCAGATCTCGTAGTTGAGATCGCTCCCAAGTTGCTGTTGCTTCCAGTGTTCTTCTGTTGTGGCTGTGTCTGGTGCTGCTGCTTCGATTTGTCCAGTGTGTGTGTTGCTTGAGAGTAGCTGTGGGTATGCTTGGTCTTGTGACCCAAGGTATGCTGTCATCTTGTACTTCTACTCCTCGAAGGCCTCGTATGTGCCATTAAACCGTGGCGGTGGCATTTTGTATCTGTGCACTTGTGTGACTGCTACTTGTGCTGTGGATGCTTGTGCCATGCCGCTGCTGTACACCTAAACCTGTGAGCGCGTGTTGGAGCTGACCCTGGGTAGTGCGTGGGTCGTGTGCCAGGGATCACTGCTCCGCTACCATGTAAAACTCGGTGTGCAAATGTTCGAACCTGTGTGTGAGCCGCGGCAGCTGTCGTGCGTTTGTTTTCACATGTGTCAGATTGCACCTGTATGGCTCAAGGCCTGTCAGGGACAATGTCTACCTCATGTACACATTGCCCGAATGTATTCATGGATGTCTCTCTTAACATCTCTTTCTCTTTCTCTTTCTCTTTCTCTTTCTCTTTCTCTTTCTCTTTCTCTTTCTCTTTCTCTTTCTCTTTCTCTTTCTCTTTCTCTGTCTCTCTCTCTCTCTCTCTCTCTCTCTCTCTCTCTCTCTCTCTCTCTCTCTCTCTCTCTCTCTCTCTCTCTCTCTCTCTCTCTCTCTCTCTCTCTCTCTCTCTCTCTCTCTCTCTCTCTGGACAGTGCCAAGGCTGGGTCAGATTGTTTGAGCTAGGCCACTGTTTCCAGCCTGTGTGCCGAAGAGGGCTGAAACCGACACGGACGGCTGACGTTTGCAGCGCTTGGGGGGCGGGCTGTGGGGTTTTGACTTCCGTGTGGCGCAGCTATGTTGGAGCTGTTGACAACGAATCAGGGGTAGTATTTGTGCTTCCACAACAGCTGTTTCACATTTCAGCCATTGCGCGCCCCCTTTGCATACTCACAGTTTGTTGCGTGAACGTGTGCAGAATAATTTCATTTCTTTTCTGCAACGGCGGTAGCTGTGCAGAGCAAGGTTGTGCACTAGCAGAGACGTGCAGCAAGGTCTATGTTGAGATGCGCTCTGCAGCAAGGCCAATTATGTTGAGATGGCTGCGCAGCAAGGCTGTAGTGATGCAGCAAGACTGTGCAGCAAATCTAACCCTCTTGAGCCAGAACCCTTCGGCGTGCGCTTGGGAGAAAACACACTAACACACCGGGCATGCCGGGAAATTCATTGAGCAAAACTCAAGGATCAGCTTATTCTAGCGGACACGTACGCACGCAGGGCCCGCGCGAGCCTCAGCCAACGCGTTGGTTTGCGCTTTGTTTTCTGGTAATCCGGCAAACTCCAAGTCTCATAGCCGAAACGCCGAACCTTGGTTCCATGTTGAGCATTTTGTGCCTGGCAGCAGCTTTCAGCCAAGTTGGGGTTGACTGGCCCGCAAAGCCATGGCAAGAGTTGTTTGTGCAATCCTCATGTGCGCGTGCCCCGTGTTGGCGACCCGCCCGAGCTCCGCAGACGCCCTGCTCCTGGATGATCTTCAGAAGGCGTCCAAGGCTTGGGCGGCATTGTGGCGCCTTTATCTAAAAAGAACGGCGGACAACTTGATAGACTTGTCAGCTGAATGAGCAAAATCAGTTTCTTGAAAGTTGCGCTGAGCAAAGCACCGTTGGATGCACTTTTTTACATATTGACACCGCTTGCTGTGACGAAAGATAGCCGAGCCACGATGTCGCAACACAGGTCAGTTTTTGCCAGCTTGCTGGCAGAATCCTGCAATTGATTTGCATGGCTGGAAGTTGGCCTGTTTTGTCGACAGTTGCACCCGCAAGCTAGCCATTGCCATGTTTGGGCCTGCGTGGGGTGGCCGATCGTAGGGTCGTAGGGCTGTGAGTTGTTCTTGACGCTTGTCGCCTTTGATTGGCAGGCGTTGGGTGACGCTTGTGACTGCGACGCGGACCACACCAACACGTGAAGATGAGAGCTTGGTGTGCTCGGATAAGACATGCAAAGTTGCTTGGCAGCAGGTCCCCACCAAACCAGAACTGTCTTACATCATTGAGTTTTTTTCTCGGGTGCTCCAGCTTTCCTTGTGTTACTCTTCCAATCCGAGAGGTTTGCTTTTTATGGCCTGAGGTGCGGCTCGGGGCAAAATGCACCCGGTGGATGCGTGGCACACCTTGTGCCATTTCTGTGTACAATGCTTCGCACTGGTGGGGTGATGTGTCGAAGCCAGTGGAGTGCAAGCGGCGGAGGGGATACGGAGAGTATGTCTGCTGCGTCAGATCGGGAAACCTTCCGTTTGAGAACAAGGACGAGTTGTGCTGCGGCGGCACCACTTTAGGAGCCGGCATGGTGCTGGGACCCACCGAGTGCGGAAGTGACGTCCAGGACTAGTGATGCCGTTTGCCAGGTCCCATCTCAGCTTGGTTGCTTCCCTTGGCGAAAAGAAACCTTGCCTTGCAGAGGTTTGGTCTTTGCCCTCAACTTTGTGATGTGTGTGCCGGTAGTGCTCTTGCAAAAGCATGTTTCCACCCGTCCACCAGTGCGCATGGAGCTGCACTGGCAGGCAAGAAAATGAGGCCCGCTCACTTGCTTTGTTTGCTTCTTGCTCTTGGAGACTGCCAAGGGTCATATTGTTTGAACTAGCCCGCAAGTTTCAGCATCGCTCGCTGCTCGGGTCAAACGTGTGTGCCGAAGAGGGCTGAATCTTTGCACAGGCTGCGGCACTTTGAGGGGTGTGCTGGGGTTTTGACGTGCGCGTGGCCCCGCCATCTTGCAGCTGTTGACAATTCATCCAAAAACTACAATCTTTGATCCATTCAGCTGTTTTGCAAATTTCATCCATTTCACGCCCTCCTTTGCATAATGAAAGTCTGCAGTGGTTCCCCAGAATCATGTTTTCCCCGTTTGGCAAGTCTCTTTAAAAGGCACCGTGTTTTTCCGTGGTTTTAAAGGGAATCTACTGGACATATTTAAGCCAACCTTTTGTCCGAGGCTCTGCAAACCGAAGGCTTGCAGGCAGTGCCATCGGCCGCACCGATGGAGCTTGAGTCAGAGGCCTGGCGCGCGGCGGTGCGAGAGGAGGTGCGTGAGGCTCTCAAGGAGGAGCTGCGGGAGCAGCTGGCGGCGCTGCTTGAGTTCAAATGTTGACATTGTTAATAGTTATTTTCCAATAGGGAATCATCACTTTTGGAGTGGAACACTCCCCTATCATTAAACTGGGGTTGATTAATATGGGGTCACCATTAGTGATGGATTCCCTTCGCGGCGTAGAAGCGATGCGTTTGGGTGGCATAAAAACAATGCCACAGCCATTATGGTTTGGTTTGGGGTGCAGTTCCGCGCCACTTCGAAAGGAACTTGATGATGTGGGGGTATTTCGGCTAAAAAGGGCAATCCGTGCATGTTGCCAACAGGCAGACCTCTCATCTGCAACAGCAACGGAAACAGGCTTGACCTTCTTAGAAGGGATGGCTGGGATAACTAGCAAATGACAGTCTGGTTCTCAGGGAATGAGAAATGGGATGACCCCGACAACAAACATCCCATGGTCCAGCCTAAGGTTTCCTTTCAGGGAACCCCCCCAACGGTTCATTCCCAAACCCGTCATTCCCTACCTATCGCACGGGCAAAATTATCCTTTTCATTTCTCTGCCGAAGTGATAGACATCTGGACCCCACCAGATGGGTGGGTTTTCCTTCGTCCTTTGAACCCCGTCCAAGGGGCTATTTCAAAAAATGAGACCCGACGAGTCCCATGGCTTCCTCACGTTTCTGGGCTTTTGCGGTGTCCACCAACAGAAATCGGGAGCCTTACCAAAGGTCAAGTCTTTCAGTAATCTTCGAACTTTCCAAGCAAACGAAGTATCCTCGCACCTTTTTCTCCTTAAGAACACTGCCCGAACTTGTCCGAACCTTATCTGAGTTTGTCCGTGCCGCTCCCGGCGACCGTGTCCCCGCCGCTGCGGGAGCTCCTGCGCAGCGGCACGATGGGCACGATGGGCACGGCGCCCAACACGCCGGGGATCGGCGCCCCGCTGCACCGGGGCTGGACACGCGAGATTTCTGAGGACGAGCAAGGGGAGAGGTGCATGTAGCCAAGCAAACGGGCTATTGGAAAATGCCTTGTTTCAGGTGCTGGCAGTAGTTCAAACATTGTTGGACATTCGCTCTAGGGCTAGCTTCTGTGATGCATATGGTCAAGCAGTATGACAAGTTTGGTGTCACAGGCAGGGCGATTCCCTCAACCAGGGGGCAGTGTGGGGCAAAGCTTGATTGAACAACCAGGCCTTTTGAAACGAACAACCCAAGGGAGCTGGTTTAACAGCGGATGCTAAAACACGTTCAACCAGGGTTGACCCACCTCAGGCGGGTCTTCCCACGCCACATGCATCAATGAGATCAAGCTGGACATAGATGCATGAAATCAGAAAAGGTCAGGGGCCAAGGCATTCATCTGCTGTTTGACTCGGGATTTCTTTGCCTTTGGCCCACGGGTCTCAAAGGCTGAAGAGGGGGGGTATCATTCAGCCGCAAGTCCATAAAGGTTTTTGACCACGGGGCTTTGAACACCCCCATCTGCATACGGCAACTGAAAGGACATTGCTAGGGGACCGATACCTACTGAGTTGCACGAAATGAAACCATGGTTGAAAGAAACCATCGCGTTTGTTGGTATTTACAGGGTAATCAAACCATTCCAGGGCGACTTAGTTGGTGCAAAATGGATTTCACCCATCTGCAGTATGACAACTTCTCCCAGTCGCTGCAGGAGTCGGACGACCTCTTCGAGTGGAAGCGACACCCCCGGAAGCTTCGGACCAACTCACACTCCCCGAAGCGTCGGAAGGGGTCCAAGGCAGGGCGTTTTGTTGAAACGAGGCCCTGGTCCCCGAAAAGGGAAGCAGCAACTTGTTTGGTGAAAGCCAGATCCCGGTTCCCTAAAGAAAGAACCCCAAAGCAAAATTGTTTTTCAACAATGTTGGTTTCAAGTTTCAAGCATGTTGAAACACTATGGCGAATGTTTCTCCTTTTCCAAGAACGCCAAGGCGCCCCACGCCCCACGGATGCCGGAGGCGGAGACGCTCAGCTTGAAGGCTTTTCCGGGTTCAACTGGTAGAGTCGGTAGAGGTTAGGGGAATCAATAGGGTTCACATGGCGTGGACGTGGAAGAGGTACTGTGGGGTTTGATGGGTCTTTTTCGCTGGCCAACCCATTCGATCCTATCAGAATGATTAGCCATGTCAAAAGCAGAAGCTCCTCAACTCTTGCAGGTTGCGTGTTCCCAACCTTCCCTCACTGTGCAGGGGCCTGTCCGGTCAAGGGTTAGTCACCACCTACAAGTGCCACTAAGTCATCCAAGGCAGAAAGGTCTTGTTTTCACAGCCGCAGGGTAGAGCTCGTTTCCCTCTGGTGCCCCGGCTGAGGAAGCTGATCCGGAGCTCCCGGCGCTTCGCACAGATGTCAAACCCCCTGCTGCTGGCAGAGCCGGCGGAGGAGGGGTGGCTGGCCTCCATTGTGGAGTCCCCGGAGTTCTCGGGCATCGCGGCTTGGAGTCGATCTGTTGTAACGGTCCCTTGAAACGCTCGAAAAGCATCCAGGGGTGAAAAGAATCCGGGGTTTCCCATTCAGGGGAGGACGAAAAAGAAGCCAGCTATGTGGGCAAAAGGCTTGGGTTGCTGAAGTGCTCTTTCAGGGCTTCTTTTGGGGTTTGGCAGGATGTGGGCTTGCAGGGGAGCAGAGTGCCTAGCGGGACCGTTGAATTCTGTGGAGGTGGTCACAGCTTTCTTCTGGGCCCCGCAGCCCGTGTAAGAAAAAAGGCAGGGGCCATCATGCTTGCCATCTCAGAGCCTTCTGCACAAAAGCTAAGGTCAGCATCTCGTTGGCAACGAGCAAAGGTGCCTGTTGTCCTGTTTGTACCGAGAAAAGCAGCAACACCTACTTGGATTCCCAGCCGACTTGGAAAGGGGGTTAATGACCACAGTTAAGAAGTTTACGAGGTTGCACTTACCAACACACACGCACACAACCCACCTGAGGGACTTGCTGGGCCCACCTGCCCAATTGGGGCTAGTCCGCTGCTCGCCGGAGGTGGGGGCTGCGATCTTGTGCAACGCCTGCACCATCGGCCTCCAGACGGAGTATGCGGCACAAGGTTGGCACAGCCAGGTGCCACCTGCCTTCATCATCAGCGCCTCGGCTGGAGCGAATTGGGGGCGACGCATTGGAGCCAGCCCCAAGTTTCGCGGAATTTGGTGTGGCAGACATCTTGGCGCGACTTTGTTGCGGAGCTCCTTTTGATAGGTTTTAAGGGGAACCAAAGGATTTTTTGCAGGCTCTGACATTTTGAGAGAACCCCATTTAAGGGACAATTCTTTTCTGGGGCAGCCCCCCTCACAGCCGTTGAGGACGGTGTTGGGCACAGTTTTGCAAAGATATTTGTTGGATCGAACATGTGCACACAAGGAGTCACATGCCACCTGGTTCTAGAGCTGAAAGGATGGCCCTCTTTGTTTTCGGCCTCATGCTTGAGCAGGGCAGCCCTACGAAGCACCAACTCGTCTATCGCAAGCGATGATTAGCCAAAGGAAACCTCCTCAGTGCCCGCGTGTTTGGATTGTCCAAAAGCGCACAGCAGACCTTTGACTGCTCAATTCTTTGAGTTCCCCGCAGTTCTTTCTCTTGCCATGTTCATCCGGTTTGTTGGCTTCCTGCCTTCCGTTCCCTCCGTTCCCTCCCTTCCCTCCCTTCCCTCCCTTCCCTCCCTTCCCTCCCTTCCCTCCCTTCCCTCCCTTCCCTCCCTTCCGTCCTTCCCTCCCGCCCCACTTTGGGCATCCCTCACGGTTCCAAGGCGAGATGGTCTTCACCGTGATCTTCCTGGTTGAGCTGCTTCTGCGGCTCTGCGTCTACGGCCGGACCTTCTTCCGCGGCCCGGAAAGGGGCTGGAACATCTTCGACATGGTGCTGATCAGCGCGCAGGTGGTGGATCAGGTGCCCCTTGGCCAGACAAAAAGACCAGCCATGCCAATGAACGCCCCAAAAAGGTTCCAGAGGCGGATGGTTTCTTTTGGGCACCCCTTTTGGCTGGAGGCATGCGGTGGCACCGGTCTTGCCCCAATCAAAAATAACGCGATTTTTGAACATTGGCTCCTCAGCATTCCAGGCGGAAGCAGCACAAAAGATGCTTTGAACAGCCAGCTGCCCCTTTTTTGCGGCTGCTTTTGCCAGTCCGGGCCTGGCCCATTTCTTTCTTCACCCGATGGGGTTCCTTTAAGGATATCGACGACGGTGATCATCCAGGCTGGGGGATTTGACGGCCTGGACCTGTCGCAGCTCACAGACGAGACCATCCTACTGCGCGCCCTGCGGATCTTTCGACTCCTCCGCATCTTGAGCTTCAGCAGCAACCGGAAAATGGTAAGACGAGAGAGATCCGCGCGATTTTGCCGTTGCTGCATCCTCCCTCCGAACACCTGACATGGGCCATCTTGAGAAGCTGGTCTTCCCTGTTTTGTTTCAGCAGGTCCTGTCTAGTTTGTTGGGTAGCCATCATCCGCAGCCCCATCGCAGCCCCCTTGCAACAAAGAAACAAAAACAACTTTTTGAAGTAGGCCTGCATGTCCAGCTAATCAGTGGGGAACGAGGGCGGAGCCCACATGGACCCCATGCGATTTCCATCCCTAGGCGGATCTTGCGGATCATGCACATCAGCGGGGAGTTGCAGGCATTCCATGCGACATAGTTATGGGAGTTCGTCTGGTTGGTTTGGCGCAGAACGCAAGAGGGCCTCAAGCCGCTATGCAGGTAGATTGGAGCAGGGTGCCCATTTTCCTTTTGTCCTTGGCCACTGGAGGTCTTGGTCAAGCATTCAGGGGAGTTCACTCATTTTCACCCTTTGCACAGCGCTTGCAGCAGGATGCGATGTGAAGCTAAACTTCAGGCCTGTTTGTTTGGGCAGCCCCTGGCCCACCTGCTTGCTTGCAAGCTTGTGGCTAACCCTCACACGGCGCTAGGCATTTTTTGTTTTGCGCGAAAAGGGAATTGCAGCTGATTGGTTTGGGAAGGCTTGCCGCTTTCTCTTATGTACTGTGTCTCCATTGGTACGTTGAAAAACACTCAAATTGGGTAAGTACGTAGGTATGTAGGCACGTAGGTACGCACAGACATACATTGATGACATGCGTACGTGCATACGTACTAGTGTCGTTTTTTTTGTATACTCTGTGCGTGTGTGCACGCAGTTCCTGATTCAAGCACACAGTGGTCAGGTGTTCAGCAGGCTGGGCATGGCTTGTCAAGCGGTGCAATCCTTGTGCAGGCCATCATGACAGCCGTTGCCAAGGGCATGCGGTCCTTTATTTGGACGGTCGGGGTCCCGAGCGTATCCAATACTCAGTTGGTGCATCCGACGGGGCCGATAGATTTCTGTGCACCTCGGCGCCTGGTACCGGATTGGCAGCCTCTAGACATTGGGTAGTGGCACTGACCAGGGGCATTTTGTTGAGCCAATCAAGGACGTCTATTTCCAAAAGGTCATGGCTTGTAGCGGAGGTGGTCTTCCTATTCCTGGTGCTTTATGCTGTGGGGGTGTTCCTCACACAGAGTGTCACCGACTACAAGGTGGCTTTGGCAAAGGAAAGCCAGGCGCGCTTTGCAGGAACTCGCAGCATGTTCCAGCAATATCAGGGTCGTTTGGTTTCTGCACCGGCGTGTTCGAGCAGGTTCGCTGGACAACCTGACAGGTACCTGCGAAGTTGGAGGGCTACTTCGGGACGCTCCCAAGCACAATGCTTGCCCTGTTTCAAGCTGCCGCCTGAATGCATGGAGAGGAGCGGGGGGAAGGAGAGCAAAGCTGCTGTCTGTCAGAGGGCATGTGGTATGCCCTACCCCCTCGGCCGCTGCCACCCATTGGTTGAAGATGCATGCCATTCATACTCTGCAAGCACTTCAGGAACTTGCCAGAAAAGATACAACACACGATTTCTTGGCTTGGATTTGTCTAGCAAAACTCGGGTTGAAGAACGCATTGGGTGCCTCGTGAGTTTAATCATCCCGGAATCTCATTTTGGCGCTTACATCCGCCCCGCGCGCCTCTCATTTTGGACAGCCTTTCTCATGTTGGCACGTGCCGAGCTTGGCATGTGCCCCAGCTGAGGTCACCGATGGTCAGGAGTGGCGGGACATGCTGGAGCCGCTCATCGAGGAGATCTCACCCTGGATGGCGATCCCGTTTTGCATGTACGTGGCTTTCACCGCATTCGCACTTTTGAACATCTTGCCCCTTGGACTTCTTGACAAGAAGTGCGTGTTCTTTGTTTTGTGTGTGTGTGTGCGTCTGTGTGTCTGTGTGTCTGTGTGTGTCTGTGTGCGTCTGTGTGCGTCTGTGTGTGTCTGTGTGTGTCTGTGTGTCTGTGTGTGTCTGTGTGCGTCTGTGTGTGTCTGTGTGTGTGTGTGTCTGTGTGTGTCTGTGTGTGTGTCTGTGTGTGTGTGTGTGTGTGTGTGTGTGTGTGTGTGTGTGTGTGTGTGTGTGTGTGTCTGTGTCTGTGTCTGTGTCTGTGTCTGTGTCTGTGTCTGTGTCTGTGTCTGTGTCTGTGTCTGTGTCTGTGTCTGTGTCTGTGTCTGTGTCTGTGTCTGTGTCTGTGTCTGTGTCTGTGTCTGTGTCCTGTGCCTGTGCTGTGCCTGTGTCTGTGTCTGTGTCTGTGTCTGTGTCTGTGCCTGTGCCTGTGCCTGTGCCTGTGCCTGTGCCTGTGCCTGTGCCTGTGTGTGTCTGTGTCTGTGCCTGTGTGTCTGTGTCTGTGTCTGTGTCTGTGTCTGTGTCTGTGTCTGTGTCTGTGTCTGTGTCTGTGTCTGTGTCTGTGTCTGTGTCTGTGTCTGCGTCTGCGTCTGCGTCTGCGTCTGTGTCTTTGTCTGTGTCTGTGTTGGTGTCTGTGTCTCTCTGTGTGTGTGTGTGTTTGTGGGTGTGTGTCTTTGGGGGGTGTGGTTTTGATTCTTTCATTTTTGGACTGGTTGTGGTTCTTTACGCCTGGGTTGTTCTGGTTGTTGCCCGTGCGTGTTGTTGAGATGTCTTTGTTTCATGTCTTAAGCGGGAGGAAGGGGCGGATGTTAGGAGGCTGGGGAACAGGCAGAGCACCCACTGGACCCATTCTGTTTTTGCGCTTGGACGCCCCCTGTGAAATCTTCCCACTGGGCGCCGCATGCATCCGCACACTCGGTTGACAACAGGCAGCGTATGACTCTCGATTCTCCTCCTGGTGCAATCTTGAAACTGAGGAGCTTGTTGCAGGACGGTGGCACGCCTTTTTGCTTTGTATCTATGGTCTATGACCGTTTGACATACACACAGGTATATATAAAAAAAAATAAAATATACATATATACATGTGCACAGACACATGTATATATGTTTGTGTATTTGGTGTGTTCTCTTGGGGGCTCCGGGCGGCCTCGGATTCTGTTGAGGACGGGGATCTTCGTGGACTCTGCGCTGCAGAACGGGCAGGACGAGAAGCGCCGGTTCCTGCTGAGGGAGGTGGGGCTACTCTTCCGCGAGACCCACAAGGCTGGCGCGGGGGGGCGGGTCTCCCCCCATTTTTTGTTGAGGCGGGGGAGGTGTTAGTTAGGTTGCTGTGTGTAGGTGTGTGTGTGTGTGGTTTTTTGCCAGGCGGCGGCTAGGAATCCGGGAAGTAATTCTGAGGTGATGGCTTTGCTTTTACAGGAGTCCCCATGACTCGAAGCTCAAAAGTTGTAATTACCAAGAGATGCTCAGTGAGGGCGTGTAGGCGTCCTTTGACCGCTCGCGAAACTGAGTAACTTGGCGTCAGGATCAGATCTCCTGGCCAGACTTTCAGGCGGGGCCGTCCTGCTGCAGAGTGTGCGAAGGGGGCAGTCTGGTTGCTCAAACGAATTGGTGTCAAAAACAGACGAGCCACTCTCTGAACCCCCACTTCCCTGAGGCGCAGCTGGAGAATCCCCACATGCAGCAGCTCTTCGCAGCCCTGGATGTGGACGTGCCTTTGGCGCAATTGGCGCGTGAAAACATGGGCATACCGTCATGGGGTGGTTTGTCTATTTGTGGAGTTGGCACCTTTTTTTGCGTTGGTTATGGGGTCCCCGAAGAAAGGCACACCCACATGGGATCTCACTCTGAAGCCTCAAGCATGGTTGACGACTTGTGCTGGTCGAATGTGTGCCTGGCTTTGGCCAGTGTTCGCTGGGCCGCGCTGGACCGCGCCACATGGGCTTGAGGGTTTGGCGTGCCACTCCCTTGCTTGAACTAGTGGACAAAATCGGCTTACCGCCAGTAGACAATTCATCTCAAACAATATTCATGAACCCCCCATACCAACTGAGCCTGAGGCACACAGCACACCTTTCAGCTCGAGGGTGGAACCGCACCGGTTGAGAGGTTCCTGTCAATATCTGCAGACGGTGGCACGTGCCAAATTTACCTCAAAAAGCAAGTTTATAATTGACAGCCCCCCAAATTTCAGGGTTCCCAATATCTCCCCTTGAAGGGCTTTTGAGGATCTCCTTAAGAATTGTTGGATGCATTCTCGGCAATGTTGACCCCATAGGAAGAACCCTCTGTTTATGAATGTGGGGGTGCTTTTCCCTTTGGTTGGAAGCAGACCTTCTTTTTTTGGGGTCTGGGGTTGACGAATATGGGGTCAGCATGACTTCCCACTTCGGGGAAACGCCGCACCGAGGAGGTGGACGCGCATGAGCTCTTCCACATGCTGGACTCGTCACACGAAGGCAAAATCCAGGCCGACGAGTTTCTGAACGGTTGCCTCCGCCTGGACGGCCCGGCCAAGGCCGGGGTTTGGGATCCCGTTTGGGGCTCGCAAAGGCCTGGATCTTCCACCGTTCTTCTTCTTTTTTTTTGAGGGGTATTTATTTTAGGATCTTTTTTTCTTTTTCGCTTTTGGCTTCTTGGCTTCTTGGCTTCTTGGCTTCTTGGCTTCTTGGCTTTTTGGCTTCTTGGCTTCTTGGCTTCTTGGCTTCTTGGCTTCTTGGCTTCTTGGCTTCTTGGCTTTTTGGCTTCTTGGCTTCTTGGCTTCTTGGCTTCTTGGCTTCTTGGCTTCTTGGCTTCTCAGCTGGGCTTTTCGGCTTCTTGGCTTTGGCCTTTAGCATCCTCTGCATTCCCAGTTCCTCTTCGACAGGTGGCATTTTGGCTTTTGCGGCTTTTAGCTGGTTTATGCGGCTTTTGGCGGCTTTAGCTTTTTGCATCCTCTGCTTTCCCAGTTCCTGTCCGGTCTTTTTGGCTTTTGCACGTGGCTTCCCGCATCATCAGCATCACCAGTTCCTCCCTATTTGAATCATCACTTCTTCGAACATCATGGGGGGGGAAGTCCGCCCGCAACCCACCCGCTATTGTTTAGATTGCTTGCAGATTAATTGCACCCCATACACTTCTTCAAACATCATGGGCGGGGCTGCCGCCTCCCCCCCGCTACTTTTTGGATTTATCTTGCAGAGATTGAATTGCACCCCTAGTTCAATCATCACTTTTCGAGCGTCCAATTTCGCGAGACAATGCTGCAAAATACGACATTTTAGGTATTCTGTGTAATCCATGTATGTCTGTATGTATGTACTTCTTCGAACATCATAGGGGAAGCCACCCCCGCCAACCCTCCCGCTGCCTTTTAAATTCTATCGCACCCTTTCTTGAATCATTGCACCCCTACTTGAATCATCACATCATGGGGGGCTGCCACCCTCCCCAACCCCTCGCTACGTTTTAGATTTTCCACAGAGATTTAATTAATTGCACCCCTATTCAAATCATCACTTCTGCAAACAACATCATGGTGGGGGCTGCCGCCCCCCCCCAACACCCCCGCTACTTTTTAGTGCTTTTTTGTAGGGATTGAATCATCTTTTTTGTCAACCCGCCAGCTACTTTTTAACATTTTCACGATTTGTTGGTGATGCTAGGGATGTTGGTCGGACATGCGGGGGATGTTGAAAACGGTGCTGGGGATGTTGACGGGCTTGTGATGGGCTTGTGTAAAATGCATCAATTTCGCGAGAAAATGCTGTAAAATACGACATTTTACTGGCCCGGATGAATCAAGAAAAAAACTCCCAAAAAAATCCGGAAAAAATCCCAAAATAAATCCGCACTCCTTTTTTTGCGGTTTTGGTTTTGGGTTACGGGCCCAAACTAAGCCTGTGGCTTTGCAAAAAGAAATCCGCTGGATATGGACTGACATCATCTTAGTTGAGTTAGTGACATATTCTGATTCGACCAGATAGTGCCACGATGAATCCCCTGCCACGTGACCAGGTAGTTGTGGAATCACTTTGATCACAAGGCCAATCTTCCCGCAACCATGCCTGCAAGAAAGCTTTCGGAACCCCAACATCGTTGGGCCGATTTAGGGGGCGGCCTCGAAATGAAAGATGCAGCCGGCTGGGGGCTCCTGGAAGAGCATTTACCGTTTGAAAGGTTAGGCAGTAGGAGGGTAGCCACGCTGGTACAGCCGGAAGTCAGTGGGTTTGCCGGCACGGAGGGAGACTGCTAAGAATGCAGTTGTTCGCAAGAGGCTAAAATGTGGCGGCCTTTACACGAAACAATTCCTGGGCCCATTTGTGAGAGTGTTTTCCAAATGTAAGGGTGCAAGCCAAGAAATAATGCCATACAAATCCAACATATTTTGAGACTTCTCATGGGGATGGATCGAGCGTTTGCAAGGCCATTGACCTCGCGGCCTTCATGGAGGAGTCCCGCAATGTGAACCGGACATTCTTGGCACACGAGCCTTGGCGCTTCGTCACGTGCTTTCCCCAAAATGAGGACGGTGGGGAACCGAAGCCTTCGGTTGTCCTTTAATGTACCTGATTTGCACGCCCAAGAATTGCACAGGCGCCAAATGGGAGTCTTACCCTCTTATTTTGCCAATGCCGTCCCAACTGCAGTTCTCTGGGTGCCCCATCAGAATCTGGCCAACGATCGGCATGTGTCCTCTTCGCGGGTTGTCTAAGCCTAGTTTTGGAGTATTGAGCCAATCCTTTGCGGCGACAGATTGCTAGGAGGCGTCAAATTTGATGTTCCCGCAGAGTTTGTAAAGGTATGTTTCAAAGACGGGCACACCCAATAGGACGGTTGTCCCGTTGCTTTCCCTTTCAACCAAAAATGCAACCCTCAATCAACCGCACACCCCCTCGCGACTCAAGGCCCAGTTCGTAAACAGCTCCCTGGCCTGGATTGTGGGAGGGCTGCGCCCGCGAGATGGCACCGTTTCCGGCCACGAAGGCTAGTGCCTGGCTGGACAATGCTAATTAGTAGCTTTTGACATGAGGTTTTCGGGCTTGCTTCAGGCTAGTAGAATCAGTAGAGCTTAACACTCGGCGCAAGGAGTGTTTTTTGGGGGAAGGAGTGCCGATTTGTCGGTTTCCCGCACGTAGCATTGGTTTTCCGTAGCCTCCAGGACTCCACCAGAGGATCCTGGAGTAAACACGATGTTTCTGGCGGCGAAAAAGGGGAAAGGAGTGGGTCAGCTTGACTCTCATGTGGTCTACTGATCTTGTTTTGGGGCTGCGAGAAAAAGAAGCCACCCGCTTACGAGCATGTTCACTTTGCCCATTGCGAAATGGCGTTGCCATTTTTTGTAGAATTCACTGGCATAGAAGGGGTTGATTGCGATTCGTCCTTATGGCGCTGTACCCAACGGCCGAGTGCTATACCGCGTTCTGCGATTCTCAAGGTGCCTTGGCCTGGTCGCTGTCTTAAGGGGTTCCCACTGGTGCGTGGCAAACACTGGTGTGATCCACATGGGCGGGGCTCTCTTGGCATTGACTTGGGGGTATCACCTGAGTTCCTTGCTGACATGCGGCAAAGAATTACACTCCCTCAGACTAACATGGAAGCTCCCAGAAGTCCTTTGCAAGTGGAACCAAGTCTTCCAAAGAGGTCCTGGAATCTTTCATGTTAGTCTGGGCGGGTAGCCAATGGACTGGAGAGTTCCGGAACTTTCCTTCACCAACCAGGCGCTAGCACCATGGCTCAGGAACTTCAAAGAGGCAAAGGGCCAGTAGCAACCAGACCACGGGAGCAACGGTGATTCTGCGAACGCCTGTTGAAGGGTCCGCCAAATCATGCGGAGCAGAAGGGGGTTGCAGATGACTCCGACAGCTTTTGCCTTTCGCCAGTTTTTCCCAAGCCTTGTTTCGGCATTTTTGAGGGCCTCGTGTGAGGCACAGTCGGGTTAGGCCTTGAAATTGGGTTAGGCCTTGAAATTGAAGCCTTGTTGTTCGTCGTTTTACGCCTTTTCGCGATCTTGGAGGCGAAACCGCAAAACCGAAACCCGTCTCCCCGAGTCTCAGCGCAAGCATTGAAAGCAACAGGAGGATCCAGGAAGCCTTTCTGCTTAGGAAGCCTTTCTGCTTAGGAAGCCTTTCTGGATGGACGGAAGGCGGAGCCTGGCGTTGAAGTCAATTCCGGGTTTCATGCAGGGCGACATCAACATGTCCAGAAGCACTGGGATGGAGTGTCCAAATACATGTGGCTAGCCAGACATGTTGCAAGCGCCTGATGTATTTACGAGAACGGAACTGAACTGGGCTCCAATCCATGCCCTGTCAGGTTTCTTTGACATGTGCCAGGTTTCAAAGCTAGCATATGTGTCTTTTTTTTCAATTCGAGGGCGATTCCTGGTTTACCTGGGCCATGTGTTTTCAAAAAGGGCACCTGTGGTTGTGGGTCTAAGGTGTGGCCAAGCTCTTCCACGTGCCCGTGTTGCGTGAAGCGCTGAGCGGTTTCTCCACGAGTTCCGACTCCGGGTCAGAAAGCTCGATGAACCTGGAAAGCCCCAAGACCGCGATCAAAGTCGGTAGGCGTGATGAGAAGAGCGATGGAAAGGACAAGGAGGACAAGGAGGACACATCGGAGATTGGAGAGGACTGCCTGGTCCTGGGCACCAAGTCCTTTGATGGCGCCATGAGTGTCCTTGTCGCTGCCCTTCGTCGGATCGTCCCAAACGGCACGCTGGCCGACGGTAAGCGCTCCGGCCGCGGCAAGCGGCCTTACCGGGCAGAGGCCGGCAAGAGTGCCTTGTGGTCGGGAAAATCGTCCCGTTTGCCCAAAAGTTTGGTTCACTCAGCAGAGGTGTGTCAATCCAAAAACGCCATGCATGTGTAGGATCCAAGGCAGGACTGGACAGTCGTGGGGCAAGCATCATGGGAGCAAGAAGGGCCAGAAGGGCTGTTGCGTCGAGTGGTTGACAAGGTGGTGCTTCTGGACCAACTGGCCTGTGAGTTGACAAGCGGGCAGCTGCCACATGTCCCTGTGAAACTGGACAGAATTCTTGCCAGAAAGGTCTTTTGAAGTCTTCTTTTCACTCTCTTGAAAGCAATGCCACCTCGGTTTGAGATGTCCAAGCGCTGGTTGCAGCAGGCTGCAACCGGGAGAATCTTTGGCTCATGAAACTTGCTAGGGTTGGACGATCTCCAGGTTTCTCCTGGTAGAGGAAAAGCTCAGGAGCTGATGCATTGATCTGCCAGTTTGGTTGATTGACTTGGCGTAAAGAGACCAGGGTGGTTGCCAGGTCCACATGTCGGGCTACGACGCCAAAGAGCACGGCGACTTCGATCTCTGCCAGCGGCTGATCGGAGCAAAAGGTCGCAACGTGCGACCCTTCTGGGAAGGCCCCGGGCTGGATGGCACTAGTTTTGTCTCAAAGGAGCTGGAACCCCCAAATCCATGTCAAAATGGAGGGTCCCCCAAAACAAGTGAGTCAAAATAGGGGTTCCGCTTGAATTTCCCACAAGCAACCTACCGAAAGAGGGCACTCCCAAACCAAAATCTTCGGGTTCTCACAAAATATTCTTTGGTCCTCTTAGGGTTGGCTTCCTTTTGGATTCTCGACCAACCAAAAGGGTGTCCATCAGTTTGAGAATGACCGACGCCTCAAGGGCACTGAATGAATGTTCACGAGGTTTGCTGTGACCTTTGTTCCCTTTGCCATCTCCGAGCGACACTTTTAGAGGGGCTTAAGTGCTCACTTTCCACATGTTTCCGACCTGTTTTTTTTTCTGAGAGAGTGTTTTGGGGGAACAACACGCTTTACCGTCCCCGCCTAGTACCCCTGAGCAGACGCACACGCACACACACACACATACCCACACCACACACACACACACCATACACGCACCGCACACACACACACACCACACACACACACACCACACCACACACACACACACCACACACACACACACACAACACACAACACACACACACACACGCCACACACACACACACGCCACACACACACACACGCCACACACACACACGCCACACACACACACACGCACAACACACACACACACACCAAGCACACACACACCACACACACACACACCACACACACAGCACACACACAACACACACACACACACAAATATACACACACACACAGACACTC